TACCAACGCAAGCGTCTCCTGCAGATGTTCAGCCTCTCCGGACCATTTCTGAGCCACTTCTTCTGCATCATTGTGGTGTTTTTGGTTGTTTTGTCTCGTTGTTGTCATGTTGTGTCCTGTTTGTGTCGTTTTCTACCTTCCACGTCTCTGTCTGACAGTTTTGTCTCTTTGTCGTCTCGTCGTCCTGCAGATGACTTGAACGACTGCTTAAAGATATCAGAGACCTAAAAGACTTCTTTGGTCATGTCATTTGTTATATTTACTTCCAGACTGTACATATACATATACATATATATATATATATATATATATATATGTATATGTATTATTGAACATGTGCAGAAAAATAAAAGTGCTTCTGCAGAAAACCCTGATTTAAAGCTGGATGTGAAGCTTTGTATTGACTTTATGAATGAAATGTTCTGTCAAATTAAATGCATGTACCAAGAACTATATTTTTATTCCACTTTATTTATTTCTGCTGTAAACTACTCCTGTGGTGACGGCTGCTCTGTGTATTCAGGGTGTTTACTGAACATGTATATCTGTTGGATGTATTTTCTCAGTTTGCTGACGTTGACTTTGTCTTTTCGAGCATAAGAGCAGCCGATACGTCCTCAGCGTCGGTATCTGCCAGCGCTCGTGTTAATCTGTGTGTGGACTCCGGTCTGAGTCGGTTCCAGTCCGTCTCAGAGGCCTCCTGACCCGTTCTGGCGGTCATGTGCTGCAGGAAGAAATGTGGCACCTGAGCTCCACATTACAGCGCCGTGAACACATCTGCACAAACACAGCCGCTGCACCCGACGTGTTTCTGTGCATCTGCTGCACGTTCAGGAGATTTGATCCACAAACGTCCCTCATCAGGCTTCAGAACCCGCAAACCACAAATCTGCCCTGTGACGATGAAAAACGCCACCAAAGACCCAGAAACCGGGCGAAGCAGCGCGAAGCAGAGCGTCGGCCGGGTTCACGGTGAAACTATGAAGCTGGTGTGTGTGTTTCCTCGTTCACACACGCTGCAGCCAGAAATAGTCGCTGCTATCAGCATTCCAGGCCCGAGCGCTGTTCTATCAACATGGAGGCCGGGCTGCCGTTCTCACACGGCTTCAGACCAACACGGCGCTGCTTTTAGCCGCGCCGCTGTTTGTTCAATTATTTCCACATCACTGAGACGAGCTGACGTCACGGAGACGCTCAGCGAGGCCGTGAACGCTGGGCTCCTTAAAGATGCTCCATCTCGTTTCAACTCACTGAGCTTCATGTTCCACTAAAGTCCTGCAGCTCTGTGGAACCAGAACATGACGGAGGAGGAGACAGAACTTCTGTCTGCTGTCAGCAGGACTCAGTCAGAGTTTTATCATTTAGGAACATTTTTGAAAAACTTTTTGAGTCATTTTGGAGTAACTGTGAACAAACTTGTGAAAGTTTCAGGTCACTTCTAGACAAGTTTTTGCCATTTTGGACAAAGTCTTCACTTTGAACAGGTTTCAAGACGATTCAGGCCAATCGTCTGTCATTTAAAATAAGATCTGAGTCACTTCAGTAAAGCTTTAAGTCATTCTGGACCATTTTTGAGTCATTTGGATAAATTTCCATTTAATGACACTGACGTTACGATGTATTTTGCCAGCTAGATGTTCCACCATCAGTAGAAAGATGTTCCACCATCAGATGTAGAAAGATGTTCCACCATCAGATGAATGTATCTCCACCAACGTGCTCCTCTGGTCTCTGGTTCTGATCCGTGCTGCATGTCTTCATTGATCCAGGAGGTTGGATTCTCCTTCAGTCTCTCTGAGGAACCTCTGGCTGCAGTTCAAACTCTCTGGTTTTTAGTCACATGACTCTCGCTTGGGTCCATCTTCTAGACGACAACTCTGTCTGGTTTTACATCTTCTTGCTCTCATCATTGGTTTCATTTGGTGATTTTAACAAGAAAATCTAAAACCTGCAGCAGGTTCTGGGCCTAAACATCAGGGTTGGACTGCTGCTGTCTGACCACACTGGAACCAGGTGGGACTGAGGAGGTATCGAGTTTAGAAACTGGTAAACTCGTGCACGTTCTCAGACGTTCTCAGTCCATGAAGATGGTCCAGTCGTAATAACTGCTGTAACAGTAAACTAAAGGAAAACAGGCCATCAGCTGCCAGCAGCGACGGACGATAAATCACAGAACGTTTCCACCTGCTCACTTTTCATTTGGACTCTTTCTCCACAAAGACGTTGTGCTTTCTGCCGCGGAGCAATGAGGAGACGCAAGGAGGAGAGTTTCAGGTGTGAAATCTGCAAACAGGTCTAAAGTAAAGCAGGAAGGATGGAAGCAGCAGCTGATAAAACCAGCGACGGTTGTTCTGCAGACAAAAGAGTCGCCGTAAAAACCGAGGAGGCACAGGAAGACAAACAGCGCTCGGTGAAGCTGGGAGCGGCAGCACACAGCCAGCAGGCCGGACAGCTTTTATTGAGGCCTGTTGGAGTTTTAAGGCTGGTTTTACTAATGGTCCACTGAGAGCGCTCTGTTGTTTTAGCCCCATAAGTCTTTACTGTCTGGCTGCAGTCTGACCTTGGCTGCTTCGCCGAGAGGACGGCGACCGTCAGGGTGGAAAAACACCATAAACAGGTCTCGGGTGACGCCTCCGGCCCCCCACGGACACGCCGTTCAGAACCGTACGAGTCCAAACAGAGACCAAGTCGGACCGCTGCAGCGGAGAAACTGGAACCGGCAGTAATGTGTGACACCACAGGAGGCACAAAGAGGGAAAATATCCAGCACAGTGAGCCGAAGGAGAGCCGAGGAGACTGAGATCACAGCGATCAGGCAGCAGCTGTCTGTGGAGGAGCTGCCTGCAGCCTCATCAGGCCTCAGAGATCCTCACGTTTGAAGCACATTACAGCATTTTAACCTGGTTATTGTCTGCTAGAACGATGAGAACAGACTGGGCAGCTATATGTAGCATCTCTTCATGTGGTGGTTTCACATTCCTGGTACGTTTTAAGGTGAATTACGTCTGTTTGTGGTGATTTCATGTATTTTTTGGTCATTTTGCATCTATTCATGGTGACTTTGTGTGTTTTTTTGTGGTAGTTTTGATTTGATTCATCACCATCATCTGGGAGGCAAAGAGCCGCTGATCACTTCATATCACCAAACGTCTTCTGTCATGTATGTAACAAGGCCTCTAGTGCCAAGTCCAAGTCCAAGTCATGTCAGTTCTGAGACGGTGGACGAGAAAGACAACATGTGGAAGGATGAGCTGCTGCTGCACTAAATACAAATGTTTCAGAGTTAAAACCAACTGAGGCCACGTTTACATAAATGGATCTACGTTTTCAAAATGAACATCGTTCACACCAGATCGTTTTCAAAAAAATCTTCGTTTACACAAACCCTCATGAACACGTCGTTAAGAGCTGCTATGAGCTGCCAGACCTACAGGGGGCAGTGTGACGAGAAGCATACAGCCATGCTAGCCAATCAGGAAAAACCACAACCAGGAAAACTTGCTGTTACTTCCACGATAACGGAGCGAGGGTGGTTTGTTCGGCCCGACAGAGAAGTGGAGCTGCTCTTAGATGTAAATGCAAACAGACCAGAAGCGTAAAAACCAGCGTTGCTTTAACAGCATCCATCTACCACAGCAGCCACATGGACACTGATGACGTCAAACTCCGTCTCCTCCTGTCCACATGCAAAGACGGAGTTTCTCCAGATCTCCACTGTAGACGGAGTTTTCAGACGTGATGGTTTCGGTGACTCGTAGCTTCGTGTAAACCAAAGGCCTGCTGAGATATCACCGACTAGCTACGTGTGAACGGGGCCTCAGAAGGATTCTGTGTTTCAGTTTCATGCTGTGGTTCCAACATCAGGTTTTGCACTAAAACACTCGCTGACATGTTTGAAGAACTGTGTTTCACGTCATCCTGTTGGTCAGTAAGTCACATGAGACCGACCTCCACCAACATCATGCAGGTTGAAATGTCTCCACAGCTGGTGCAGCATCGGTCCCAGTACCGGCTGTAATCCTGCAGTTTGCAATATTTAATTATCATGTTTAACATCACTTCACTGCTCCACACTTACTCTGGTAGATTAATGGTAGCAGCTGGACTGATTGAAGACGTTCCACCTCCATCCAGGAGGCTTCATCAGCTCTGACTGACTAGTTGGGAGTTCCACAGACTGATATCCTGAAGGAGACGTTAACACCTGAGTTTTAATTGGAGGTTTGTTGCTCCTCCCCCTCGTTATGTGGGTCGTTAGTGCTCCCCCTGCCACAGTGGGGTTCGTTAGGGTCTCTGTGGCTCGGTGTGGATGTGGGTTCATCTTCCTGGGGGGAGATCTGAGGACTGAACAGGTGAGAGGTGATGCCTCAGACCTCCACCTCTGCTGAGGGATGGTCTCTCCTGTTAGATGGATTCTTCCACCCCTCTCTCAAACCTTCTGTCCTCCCTGCAGGACAACATCTGTACGTTGTTGTCTCTTGGATGAGAGGTGGAACATCTTCAAGGAACTCAATCAGTCCAGCTGCTACCATTAATCCACCAGAAGAACCACGAGCTGGAGGACAGAGGATCTTCAGACTCATTGCCAGTATTACTTATGATGATGTTTCCTGTAGTCATCGTTGAGCTTTTTAACTGCTTTCATTAGTAATGTCTTGTACACACTATAATAAATTGTAGTTTTTCTACGAGGCACCGTACTTCTCATGTAGTTGTATTTTCTGAGCAACAAGAATTTACTCAGAGATGAAAAAGTTTGTTGTTTTTATCTCGTCATACCTCCTCTGCTCTGGTCTTGTCCTCCATGTGACTTGTTGCTCAGCATGTTGAGCTAAACGTGACCTGATGAGCTTTAGCGTCTGGTCTAAGTGATATTTGGGGAGTCTGTGAGTTCCTAATGTTCTCTGAAAACACACCGTAATCATCTGTATGTGACTGAACTAAAACACGAGTCCTGGAGCTCTGTGGTTCTCTGTGAGCCGCCGGTCCGGAGCTGGTACCTGGTAGAGGAAGCGCTGGCTGAACTGGTGCATGGCGCCCTGCAGCTGGCTGCGCTGGCTCTGCCACTGCTGGTAGTTGCGGACCGACTCGGCCGTGGGTCGCTGCCATGTGGTGGTTCTGGTGTTGTGGTCCACGTAGTAGAACCTCCCCCTCTGGTCCACTCGCTTCTCCCAGCTGCAGAACAGGGAGACAGAGGGGAGCTTTCAGCCACAGGTCTATTAAAGCACATCCAGAGGTTGACAGAGACCAGAGATCAGGGACAGAAACAGGAAGGAGAACGGCGAGAGGAGGCGGCCGAGAGACGAGAAAGGAAAAGAGAAACCAGGGATAGAACAGCAGCTCAGGGTTCTGCTCATATTTAACTGTGTGAACACATTACAGAACAACATCAGCTGTTACACGTCTCCCATGGACCGGTTTCAACCGGACAGCTGGTGTGAAGGCACGTTGGAGAACAGAAACACCTCCTCAGTCCCTAAGAGTGGAGTCACCTCCACCATAAACACTGATCAATAAATACAAACAAACAATAAAAACATGTGAAACACAATAAGGACAGGAGGAGTAGCTCTGAGTAGAACCGTCCTGTGTGAAGTGTGGAGCAAATAATGTGCAAGAGGACAACAGGAGAGTGTGCAAAGGAGACTTCAGGATGCTACGAGAGCTCTGTTGAACAGAGCCGCTGCTTGTTCTTTGTTTTAGATCAGCAGGATTAGATGTTTAAAGGAGCCTAGAACCGTCAAAAACAACCAGAACCTTCCCATGGCTCCATCTGGAAACACAACCTAAGTAACCCCAGCATCCTAACAGTTCTCCAGAATCACTTCATTCTACGTCTTATCTGGAAATTACAAAAAAAATGCACCAGATCCTGAAAGAGACTAAAAGTTCTGGTCTCCTCGACCCGACTGGTCCTCCACCACCGACCCAGCTGACACCAAACATCGTTCTGCATCTCCTCCTGGTGGTTCTGACTCAAGCTGTTTTTGTCATCATTTCACATTTTGTCATCATTCAGCAACTTCCCTGAGGTACCCTACCAAAGGGATCAATAAAGTTCTATCTGTCTGTTTACTTGGAGGGATGCCTTCTGACTCTGTGGTGATCTTCTGTCTTTTTAGTGTTTTTGTGGTAACTTTTAAATTCTTTTTAGTGTTTTTGTGGTGATTTTTGAGCCTTTAAAGTGTTTTTGTGGTGATTTTTAAATTCTTTTTAGTCTCTTTGTGGTGATTTTTGAGTCTCTGTGGTGACATCACATCTCTTCGTGCTCGTCTTCCATCCTTCCTGTCCCGTCTCCGGCCCGTTTCAGACACTATCGGACAGTTTCTTCCCTTTCCTCTCAGCTCTCTGTGCAGAAGTCGGGGGGGAACGATGGCGGCCGCCGGCTGTGTGACTGACAGCGAACATGGCCGCCGTGGCTGCCTGCAGCATTACTCACAGGGTTAAGTATATCTCCCCCTGAGACGGGGGTCTGGACGAGGGCTCCGATACCGACGGAAACACAAACACACAACGGACACGAAAACACACATGAACAAAGCCGCGGCCCGGCCCGGCCCGGCCCGGCGCTGCTATTCTCATATCTGTGACTCAGGCGCTGCAGAATTTGGAAGAGAAAACAGCGCTGACTTCCGTACGCTAACAAAAACACGCCGAGCAGATAGCAGCGGGCCCGAGAAGTCAGCACGCTCTGATAAGGCCCGGCTGCTGCTGTGGACCGGCCCGGTTTTAGTCTGCTGCCCTCCAAATAGACTCCCTGTTGTTGCCGTGAAGCTCTGAATGCCGACACTGAGGAGGAGCTGCAGAGAGACTGAGGCCAGTGTGAGGCTCAGCATGAATGCTCGTTTATCTACGGCTGTGATAAACGCTCACAGAGCTCGTTAGCAGGTATTTCTGGGTCCAAACTGACAGGAGAAAATTAAACTAAACAAATAATACAAGGTTCTGGACCTGAGTCAGGAAAACCGCTGAATAGGGCGTTTTTAAACCATTAAAGCGTATTTTCTCCTTAAACGTGAAATCCTGCCGAGCACCACATGCACTCAGCTATCAGACTCCAGTTAAAGACATCAGTGGCTTCATGTCCATCAGCAAACAGACCCAGTTAATGAACCCAACGATTAAGGAGGTATATTCTAGACTTGGACTGGAGAGTCTGACCACACACCCAGGCTGGATTCACAGTAAATCCTGAAGCGCACCAGTCAAATCATGTCGATTTGGTTTCATTTTCAGACACAGCAGCTTGTACATGACGTTAGAAACCTTTAAACCGATGAATTAATTCTATATTTTAAGTTGTGTCCACAGACATTAACCCCTAAACCTCCTGAAGCTCGTTAAAGTCTCGTTAAGTCTATTTAATTACTTCTAAGAAGCTAAACTTTATTACTTCTAAGGTTCGACTCTTTTGTACTGGCCCAACTTTTACGCTCTGCTGAACCCACTTTGCTTGAAATTAACAAAACTCATACGATACAGTCAGAGTTATGAGCTGCATTTTTTAAATAAATATGGTAAAGATATGGAGTAGCTACAAAAATAAATTAATAAAAGAATAATAAAATAAAAGTGGAAATAAAAAGAAGAATAAATAAAATAAAATAAAATAAATAATGTGGCAATTTAAAGCAGTATTAATCAAAAATTAATCCAAAAAAGAAAAGGCTAATAAAAGTAAAAATAACAAATAAATAAAATAAATAAAATATAAATAATAAATAAATAAAATAA